CCAGGGCCTCAGGTTGCCTCTGAGCACTGCAGGGTGGCACTTAGGCTAAAACTAGAAGGTTAAGCAGGGACAAAATCAAGTTTGCAGAAAGACGATGGCTGAGCCCAGCTTGGAGGATGTTCATATAGAAAGACCTAGGATTTTTAAGACCCTCTGAAAGGTAAGTAAATGTTAACACAAGCATCTAACTTGTTAGCACATCATAGGTTCATAATCAATGTTTATTGATGTGTAATATGAGCCAACAAGGTGATAGAGCTACAGAGCAAAGCCAACGCAGCCTTAGGTCATATTAACAGAGGCCCAGAGTCTACCAGGAAGAAGGTGACCCATATCTCACCACCTCCCATCCTAGGTTCGATCCTGGGTTCTGAATAGAATAGAGTCTGGACAGAGATAATCCAGGGGACGCGGGGGGTATTAAGATCAGACCCAAGAGAGGGGCTGGAGGAGCAGGGCACTGCTTTGGGTGGAAAGGAGAGGTGGCAAGCTGAGGATTGGCAGAGGTTGGCTTAGATGTGCTTAGCTCAGAACCTATTAGACTTTCAAATTATAATCTCCAAAGATTTCTTCCAGGAGGAAAATATTAGCCCATCTTTTTCTACTTAACTTTGAACTAAAGATAGTCATATACAGTTCAACCTTGATGTGCTCCCCCAGCTATATACCAGATACTGAATGTCATGTCTACCGGGGGGGCGGTCCCCGGGCCAGCGGGATGCCCCCGTCACAGATGGTGGCCTTCTCTTTCATTTCTCTACATTCTGCCATAGATCACGGTACACTGGTGCCAGGTTGGGTGGATCTGAGGATCGAACAATGCATTTTAACTAAATCAGCCTCCACAGAATGGACAAATGGCTTCAAATGGCCCTGCAAAGAAACTGCGGATGGAGATAACGCTAATCGGGAAAATACAAGCAAGCGGCAGGAAAAGTGAGGGACAGACTGCCAGCCACCCCGCGCTCAAGTCCTGCGTCAGCCACCTTACCGCACTGAAAACAGTAATGAATGGGATCTCACGCACTCGGGGTTGCCTAACTACTCGAGAGGTGTACTTCCATCCACTATAGTCGGTGATTAAATTCACTCCAAGTGTATACTGGGCCTTTAGACATTAGCTTGTATGTCTATCACACACACTTGTATATAATTTCTAAATCAATAAATATGTATCTGTCGGGGGTGCCTAAAGCATTTTTCTGGAGAAGCATATGCAATCAAAACCTGTGTGGAGCGCCTGGGTGGCTCCGTCGGTTAAACGTCTGACTTCAGCTGAGGTCGTGATCTCACGGGTCGTGAGTTTGAGCCCCGCTTTGAGCTCTGTGCTGGAACCTGCTTCAGATTCTGTCTGTCTGTCTCTCTCTCTGCTCCTTCCCTGCTCACACTCTGTCTCTCTCTCAAAAATTAATAAATGTTAAAAAAAAGAAATTATTTATTTATTTATTTATTAAATGTTTTATTTATTTTTTAGGAGAGAGAGAGACAGCGTGAGCAGGGGAGGGTCAGAGAGAGAGGGAGTCACAGACTGAAACAGGCTCCAGGCTCTGAACTGGCAGTCAGCACAGAGCCCGACACGGGGCTCAAACCCACGAACTGTGAGATCATGACCCAAGTGAAAGTCGGACGCTTAACCGACTAAGCCACCCAGGCGCCCCTAAAAAAAGAAATTTTTTTAAAAAAGTATGACAACCACTACTCTAGATCTTCAAACCCAGACAGACACTAGAGGATGCTGCTCCCTGTTTGGGTTTTGGGGTTGAATCAGATTTGTTTCAGATTTAGGAACAGAGAAAAACTAGGGAGGCTGTATCCCCCCAGTAAAAATTTTTCAGCCCCTCTCTGCCCCAGTGTTTGAAGATTAATGGGAAGAAACCAAAAACTCTGAAAAGGGTTTCCCCAGCTCCGACTTTCCAAGGTGGGTACCTATTTAAACAGACAGAGCCAGGGGCATCTGGGTGGCTCAGTCGGTTAAGAGTTAGACTCTTGAATTTGGTTCAGGTCATAATCTCACAGTCATGAGATTGGGTCTCCCCCCACTGGGCTCTGCGCTGAGCTCTGAACACTGAATGTGGAGGCTGCTTAAGATTCTTTCTCTCCCTTGGGGTGCCTGGGTGGCTCCGTTGGTTAGGCATCAGCTCAGGCCATGATCTTGTGGTTTGTGGGTTCGAGCCCTATGTCCGGCTCTGTGCTGACAGCTCTGAGCCTGGAGCCTGCTTTGGATTCTGTGTATGTCTCTCTCTGTCCCTCCCCTGCTCATGCTTTGTCTCTCTAAGAAATATACATTAACTATTTAAAAAAAAAAAAAGATTCTTTTTCTCTTTCTTCCTCTGTCCCTCCCCCTACCTACACTCCCCCTCCCCCTGTTCATGCTCTGTCTCTCTTCCAAATAAATAAGTAGATATCTAGATAGATAGATTAAAAACAGTCAAAGCCAATCCAGCTTCCTTTCTCATTCTGTCATCTAAGTTTCACTGTCTGCCTCCTCTCTCTCTTTTCCATCTTTTTCTCCCATGTCTCTCTTCCCCTCTCTCACCCTCACACGTGCATTTGGCAACAGTGAACACTGGGAAGCAGTCATCCAGCACAGGAGAAGGAGCTTGCTGGCTCTTGAATGTCAGACAGACCCGGATTCAGTTCCCGCCAGTACTCTCCGCGGAGGTCACTGCACACCACATTCATTCTCAGAGCCTCAGAAACCTCCTCCAGAAAAACAGGCATGTTTACAACTCGACAATAAAATGACAACCTCATCTTAAAATCGTCCAAAAGGGGCGCCTGGTGACTCAGTCGGTTTAGCTTCCGACTCTTAGTTCCGGCGCAGGTCACGATCTCGTGGTTACTGAGTTTGAGCCCCGAGAGGAGCTCTGCACTGACAGTGAGGAGCCTGCTTGAGATTCTCTCTCTGTCTCCCTCTCCCCGCCCCTCCCCCACTTGTGCTCGCATGCTCTCATGCTCTCTCTCTCAAAATAAATAAATAAACTTTAAAAAGATTTAATTTGAAATAGAATAAAATTGTCAAAGGATTTGAATAGACGTTTCTCTAAAGAAATGGTCAGTAGCACTTGGAATGTTCCTCAACATCTCATCATTACAGAACTGCAAATCAAATCTGCAATGAGAGGTACATCTGGCTGGCTCAGTTGGAAGAGCATAAACCTACTGATTTCAGGGTTGTGAGTTTGAACCCTACATCGGGTGTAGAGATTACTTAGATAAATAAAACTTAAACAAAACAAAGCCACAATGAGATATCACTTCAAACCCTCTAGGAGGGCTACAATAAGAAATCCAGATAATAACAGTGCTGGCAAGGATATGGAAAATGTGGGGCCATCATGTATAGTCAGTGGGATTGCAGAACGGTACAGCCCCTTTGGAAACGTTTAGTGATTTCTTGAAATGTCAAAACGTAGATTCACCATATGACCCTGCAAGTCCACTCCCAGGTATATATCCAAGAGAAGTGAAGACCCACGTCCACACAAACACTTGGACATGAATGTTCATAGCAGCTTCATTCACCATAGTTACAACGTGGAAACAACCCCAGTGTCCATCAGATGAATGAATAGACAAAACGTGACCTAGGCACACAGCACCATTCAGCCACAAAGAGGAACGAAGGACCGAAAGCCAATCAGAAAGGATCACCTATTGTATGAGGTCACTTAAATAAAATGCCCAGAAGGAGAAGCAAATCCATAGGGATCATCCACAGAGTAGGCGAGTGGTTGCGGAAGGAAGGAGGAAGTGCAGGTTAATTGCTGAAGCATTCGGGGCTTATCGGGGATGATAAACATTCGAGATTCTAAATTAGATATAGTGGTGGTAGTTGCATAACTCTGTGAAGATACTAAGAAATACTGGCTTGTACACTTCAAGAGTGAACTCGATGGCATGTGAATAATGTCTCGATAAAGTTGTTATTGAACAAAAACATGAGGACTTCCCACACGGGGTTGTGTGAAATCAGGCCTCTGGCGGCACCGTACCCCGCACATCCCTGGCGTGGAGCCAGCGCATGAGAGACATCTCTCTGAAATGGTAGCCTGGAGAGGATTTCAAAGCACAGGTACCCTAGCATTTTAGAGCATTACACTAGACAAGTTCTAGGAGTTTCGGGGGAGGGGGGTTTGACCCCAAACAAAACACCGCACATTTCCTTTACACACACTCCTGACTCAACCTTTCTGGCAGTTTCTAAACAAAGCAGTATAGAAAAATAAGCACATGACTGTCATCTTTCTTGTCCCCCTTTAAAAAAAAAGAAAACAGATTGGCTGGAGGCCCAAAGGCTGCCTCTGAGGAGGGGCTGGGGTGCTCCCAGCAGAGGGGGCTCCAGATGATGGTGGGGAGGGTGGGTGCCGCTCCAGGCCAAGCCACCTGGGGAGCTTCTGACAGGCAGCAGGGCTCCCCTCCCCCAAGGTCCGGCTCTGTTAGCTCAGCATTTTCTCCCCAAAGGTGCCTCCGGCGTCCGCATCGTCACATCTACCAGGCCTGGGCAGAGGACCAGGGAGTCTCTGAAGCAGGTGTGTGGAGGGCAGCTGCCTTCACTTGCTGGCAAAGCACCAAGGCGGGGATGTTTTAGGGGAAGCACCTTCACCCTCCCAAGTGCTAGGTCCCACAAGGGCAGAGTGGACAAGACTTCAGATACCCTTCATTTCACAAATGGGGTAATTGAGGCTCAAAGTCATCAAGGGGTTTTTGAAGCTCCTGCAGCAAATTAGCAACAAAATCAGGAGTCAGTCACATGCTACGGCCTGACACCCAGACACGGGCTGGCTGAAGCCTCAAAAGAGCCCAGGGACCTGAACATTTGTCATCTTCCCCCCATACCTCCAGAGATGGAGATGGAGGCGCTCACCCAGCTAGGAAGCCACGGAGCTGGGATTTAAGTCCAGGTTCACATGGGAACCACAGCAGGTCAGGCCGGTGGAAGAGCCTGTTCTAAAAATTAACCCTTCACCCTGCCCCTCACCCAGCACATGTCCCATTACCTGTGGTCCGGAAGCCTGTGCTGGCTGCCAGGAGAGCAGTCTGTGGACTGTGCCGATGCCAGGCCGGGCAGGGGAAGAGGGTGGCCGGAGAGGCCAGGCCACACCCCTGTGACAGGGAGGGGGCGGGGCATGAGTTGCCCTGGGCCCCACTCGCTCGCCAGGGTGGCATTCCTTCCTGCTGGTGCTATCGGGCCCCAGGCCTTCCTGTCTGATTTGAGTCTTCCTCACAACACCCCAGGCACAGCAGATGGGGCAACGAAACCCCCAAACCCACCCCCTGGGCATGGCCATGACTGCTGACTCAGGGGGCAGTGTGTAGGGGGTAGGTGCACGGCCCTGACTGGGCCAAGCTCTGGGCAGGGAGGAGGTGGGGGTGTGTCCCAGACCCCTCCTTCCCACCTCATGGGTGAGACTGACTCAGGATACAGTCATGTGGGCCAACCCAGTGCTCTCCCAAGGGGTGAGGCTGGGCAGGAGGCCCAGGGTTCAGAGGACCGGGGGACTCCTGGGAACGGAACTGGCAGTGCCCTCTCCTGGTGAGGAAACTGGGCAAAGACTAGAATATCCACTGCTGTTATGCAGATAGGAAAATACAGGTCCCACAGGGGTGAGGAGTGGAGACTGACCTCCTACACCGAGGCCAAGAGTAACCCCAGCTCAGCTTGCCTCTGTCTTTTACTCACTTATTGAACACGTTGGAAACAGGATAGTAAACAAGTGTTACACTGCCCTGGGGAGCACCCAGGCCACAGAGACAGGCCATGACCGGCCCCATGACGGCAAGGCCCAGGGAGCTGTGGGTTCCCAGGAGGGCCTCCTGGAAGAGGAGTCATTTGGATCCTATGCTCAAGCCGAAATCTGAGAGTCATCCTTGACGCTCTGCTCTCTCATCCTCTGTATCTGACATATCTGGAACACGCTGCCGGCCCCGCCTTCAGCATACCCCAAAGCCAGCCTCCTCTCTCCACTTCCATGGCAGCCACCCTGGTCGAGCCAACACCATCACTGGTCTCTTTGCTTATGCCTTTAGCCCAGTGGCTGTGCTAATTGTGAAAACCAGAGGATCCAGTTAAGAACCAAGTCAGCTCATGTTCCTCCTCAGCTCAGCACCTTCCCGGGACCCCCACCTCCCTCAGGATGAAAGTCAAGTTCTTAGGGCACCTGGGTGCCCGGTCAGTTAAGCACCTGACTCTTGAGCTCGGCTCAGGTCATGATCTCATGGTTTGTGGGGCTGAGCCCGGTGTTGGGCCCTGTGCTGACAGAGCAGAGCCTGCTTGGGATTCTCTCTTGCCCATTCTCTCTGCCCCTCCCCTGCTCTCTTGCATTCTCTTGCTCTCTCAAAATAAATAAACTTTAAAAAGCCCAACAACTCTAGTAGTTACACAGCCCTCCACCATCTGGGACCCATGTCTTGCTCTCTCTGACCATAATTCCAATGACTTCTTCTCTCCCTCTGCCCAGCTACACTGAACTGTGTCCCAAACACTCCTGTTATGCTCCATGCTCAGGGCCTTTGCACTGGCTGTTCCCTCTGGAACAAAGTATCCCTAGAATGCTTTTTCCTAGCTCCTCTCCTCACTGCTTCGGGTCTCTACTGAAACGTCACCTTTTCCAAGAGGTCTTCCCTGACCACCCTGTGCAAAGTAGTGACTGCCACCACCACCTTTCCTTGTATCCTGCTTTATCGTTCACCAGGTGACATACTGTATGTTTTTTATTAGGCATATCTCCTCATTATGTATTATTTGTCCCAGGGCCGAGGACAATATCTGACACATAGTAGGTGCTCAATAAATTTTGTCGAATGAATGAGTGGCCTGAAAAGGAAGCCCAAGAAGCATTGTAAGTGCATTCCAGGCAGAGGGAACCATGTGTGCAAAGGCTTAGAGGTAAGAGGCACTGCGTGTTGAGGATCTGTGAATAACAGTACAGAAAGGGGGGGGGGGCGCTGGGGACTGGAAGAAGGGAGAAGGGAACGTGAGAGGCAAGGACTTGGAAGCCAGACCAAGGAGGCTGGATATTATCCTGAGAGCAACAGGGAGTCACGTAAAAGGGACACGATCAAATCTTTGTTTTAGACAATGACTCAGCTGCCACGTTCTGGATTGGTGAGGCTGTGAGGGGCAGGCATCCAGGCGAGCGGGAGCCACAGCAGGAGAGAGAAGGACTAGGGACAGGGTCATTGCACTGTCCCAAACAGGAGCCACCAGCCACGTGTGGCTATGGGGCCCTTGAAATGTAGATGGTCAGAATTGAGATGTGCTGTGTCAAATTCACCACATTTCCAAGACTGGCTCTGAAAAACAAGAATATATAAGAGCTCACTAATCAGTTTCGTGTTGGTTACTTGTTAAAAAGATATTATTTTGGATACCCTGGGTTAAATAAGATGTAATGTGGAAATTAGTTCTACCTGCTTCTTTTTGCTATTTTTAATGTAGTGTTTGAAAAACTCAAAACTTTTTGTAGGTACATAGAGCTCACAATACATTCCTGTTGGACAGCCCTGACTTGGAAGGTAGAATGGACAGGGATTGGTTGGTGGACTGTGGGGATGAGGGAGACCCTCAGTTTAATTACACGTCTCTCCCTTCCAGCTGCTCCTTTCTGATGAGACCGGGAAGTCTAGAGGCAGAAGGAATGGGCTACAGAGGAGAGCAGTTAGAGCAAGTTCTCATCTCACACAAGCATACAATTCCTGTCCTTACAGTAAGAACTATCCAGAAAGGAGACAGGTCAGCAGAATAGGCAATGAGTCCTCTGTCCCCAGAGGCTAGATAAGAAGAAAATTGAAAGCCACCATTACGCAGAGGAAAGGAAGTTGAACTGATTGGTTATTTTCAAAACATGGTTCCTGGACCAGCAGATTCAGCATCACCTGAAAACCTTTTAGTTAAGCAAACACTTAGGTCCCATCTCAGTCCTACTGAATGAGCAACTCTAGAGGTGGGACCCACCATTTGTATTTAACAAGCCCCCAAGGTGCTTCTCTTCAGGTTTAAGAATCAGCTACCTGTTCAAGTTTAAGAATCACTGGACTACAGATGGTTCAGTCAGCTGAGCATCCTATTTTGGCTCAGGTCATGATCTCAAGGTTCATGGGTTCAAGCCCTGCATCAGGCTCTGTGCTGACAGCTCAGAGCCTGGAGCCTGCTTTGGATTCTGTGTCTCCCCCTCTCTCCGCCTCCCTCCTACTCATCCTCTGTCTCTCAAAAATAAATAAATGTTAAAAAATTTTTAAAAGAAAAAGAATCACTGGGCTACAGAATACTTCCTATCATTTAAAGGTTTCAATGACTGGCACATGGTAGGTGCTCAAAAAAACCCATCTTCACCTTCTGTTTGTTTTCTCATCCCAGGTGAAGGTACTTCCCCTCTCTGGACAAATGAAGACTTTACTTCCCACAGTACCTGGTTGTATGTGAACTTGATACAATATAGAGGCACAGCCTCAGGGCATTTCCTATCTCTCTGACACGGGTAGATCGCCAGGATGCGACACAGCTGCAAGAGGTTTAAGGGAGGCTCCCGCTCAGCTCCCTCCTGAGGTGACCTCACTGTCCCATGTGTGTGTGTTGGGGGGGGGGTTGGTGATTCACGAGAGAAGCTCCCACTGTCCTATGGGTATAGCTGCTGGCCCCAGGGAAGCCAGCTCAGCAGATGAGCGTGGCATCCGGCTTCCCCGCATTCCAGAACTGCCCGCTGGGGGCCCACCTGATTCAGCAAGCACGTGCACTCTGGAGGCAACAGACAGTGTGACCTCGGTCTCTACATCCATAGATGTGGGGAGATGGCAGCCCCCATCCATGGTGACAGTATTTGTATGAAGCGCTTGCAGCAGTCCTGTGTACGGCCAGCCCTCAGCACCCCTTGGCATGCTTGTGATGAGGCTGCTGGGATCGCTCGGGCAGGTGGGAACTACCCAGTGACCCATAATTCTTGGGTTTGAGAATTATGCCCTGCAGCTGAAGGGGGAGAGAATGCGCACTTACTATGCACACCCAGGAGCCTGCTTCTCTTTGTGAATTTTTGCTTCATCACCAAATGGATGTATGTGATGATAGGGCTTGTCTTTTTTTTTTTTAATGTTTATTTACTTATCAATTTATTTTAAGATTTTAACATTTAAAAAATTTTTCAACGTTTATTTTTGAGAGACAGAGTGCAAGCAAGTGGGGGCGGGAGGGGACAGCAGAGAGAGAGGGAGACAGAGAATCCAAAGCAGGTTCCAGGCTCTGAGCTGTCAGCACAGACTCGAACCCATGAGCTGTGGGATCATGACCTGAGCCAAAGTCAGATGCGTAACTGACTGAGCCACCCAGGCGCCTCAACGTTTTAACATTTTTGAGAGACAGAGTGTGAAGAGGGGTGGGGCAGAGAGAGGGAGACATAGAATCCGAAGCAGGTTCCAGGCTCTGAGCTGTCAGCACAGAACCTGATGTGGGGCCCGAACCCAGGAACTGTGAGATCATGACCTGAGCCTAAGTCAGACGCTTAACTGACTGAGGCACCCACATGCTGCCAAATATTTATTTGTTTTGAGAGAGAGGGAAACAGAGAGCACAAGCGGGGGAGGGGCAGAGAGAGAAGGAAACAGAGACTCCCAAGCAGGCTCCACACTCAGTGAGACGCCCTACGTGGGGCTGGATCCAATGACAGTGAGATCATGACCTCAGCCCAAACCAAGAGTCAGACACTTAACCGACTGAGCCACCCAGGTGTCCTGAGGACGGAGCTTGTCTTAATCATCTTGAAACATTTGTTAAATGGACCCTCTAAATCAGGAAGCATTGTCCCCATTTCATGGATGAGAACATTGAGGGTCAGAGGGCTGAAATTATTTGTGCCAGGTCACAAAACTAACTGGGAGGTGGCTGGGGCAGGTTTCAAAGCCAGGTTTCCCTCAATTCAAAGCTGGGATTTTTCCACTCCTCCATGCAGGCGCCCTGACCTAAGCTCCTGGTTGAGAAGCCCATGTGTATGTCATTGAAATTCATGTTTGAGGAGTTAGCCTCTGGCCTAGGCTACAATCTCTGCAACTCCATATTCTTTGAGAAA